TGACTCTTTATCCAGTTTGCCAGTCTGTGTCTTTTAATTGGAGCATTTAGTCCATTTACATTTAAGGTTAAGATTGTTATGTGTGAACTTGATCCTGTCATTGTATTAGCTGGTTACTTTGTTCATTGGTTGATGTAGTTTCTTCCTAGCATCGATGGTCTTTACATTTTGGCATGTTTTTGCAATGGCTGGTACCGGTTACTCCTTTCCATGTTTAGTGCTTCCTTCAGGATCTCTTGTAGGGCAGGCCTAGTGGTGACAAAATCTCTCAGCATTTGCTTATCTGAAAGGATTTTATTTCTCCTTCACTAATGAAACTTACTTTCGCTGGATATGAAATTCTCGGTTGAAAATTATTTTCTTTGAGAATGTTGAATATTAGCCCCGACTCTCTTCTGGCTTGTAGAGTTTCTGCCGAGAGATCTGCTGTTAGTCTGATGGGCTTCCCTTTGTGGGTAACCCGACCTTTCTCTCTGGCTGCCCTTAACATTTTTTCCTTCATTTCAACATTGGTGAATCTGACAATTATGTGTCTTGGAGTTGCTCTTCTCGAGGAGTATCTTTGTGGCATTCTCTGTATTTCCTGAATTTTAATGTTGGCCTGCCTTGCTTGGTTGGGGAAATTCTCCTGGATAATATCCTGCAGAGTGTCTTCCAACTTGGTTCCATTCTCCCCATCACTTTCAGGCACACCAATCAGACGTAGATTTGGTGTTTTAACATAAAACCGTATTTCTTGAAGGCTTTGTTCATTTCTTTTTACTCTTTTTCCCCTAAATTTCTCTTCTTGCTTCATTTCATTCATTTGCTCTTCAATCACTGAACTCTTTCTTCCAGTTGATTGAGTTGGTTACTGAAGCTTGTGCATTTGTCACATAGTTCTCATGTCATGGTTTTCATCTCTATCAGTTCATTTATGGACTTCTCTGCATTGCTTATTCTAGTTATCCATTCATCCATTCTTTTTTCAAGGTTTTTAGTTTCTTTGCACTGGGTACGTAGTTCCTCCTTTAGCTCTGAGAAGTTTGATGGACTGAAGCCTTCTTCTCTCAACTAGTCAAAGTCATTCTCCATCCACCTTTGTTCCATTGCTGGTGATGAGCTGTGTTCCTTTGGAGGGGGAGATGCGCTCTGATTTTTTGAATTTCCAGCTTTTCTGCACTGCTTTTTCCCCATCTTTGTGGTTTTATCTGCCTTTGGTCTTTGATGATGGTCACATACTGATGGGGTTTTGGTGTGGATGTCCTTTCTGTTTGTTAGTTTTCCTTCTGACAGTCAGGACCCTCAGCTGCAGGTCTGTTGCAGTTTGCTTGAGGTCCACTCCAGACCCTGTTTGCTTGGGTATCAGCAGTGGAGGCTGCAGAAGATAGAATATTGCTAAACAGCAAGTGTTGCTGTCTTTTCTTGCTCTGGAAGCTTCGTCTCAGAGGTGTACCCAGCCGTGTGAGGTGTGAGGTGTTAGTCTGCACCTAGTGGGGGATGTCTCCCAGTTAGGCTACTCAGGAGTCAGGGACCCACTTGAGCAGGCAGTCTGTCTGTTCTCAGATCTCAACCTCCATGCTGGGAGAACCACTGCTCTCTTCAAAGCTGTCAGATAGGAACATTTACATCTGCAGAGGTTTCTGCTGCTTTTTGTTTAGCTATGCCCTGTCCCCAGAGGTGGAGTCTACAGAAGCAGGCAGGCCTCCTTGAGCTGCAGTGGGCTCCACCCAGTTCGAGCTTCCCAGTGGCTTTGTTTACCTACTTAAGCCTCAGCAATGGCAGGCGCCCCTCCCCCAGCCTTGCTGCTGCCTTGCAGTTAGATCTCAGACTGCTGTGCTAGCAATGAGGGAGGCTCCATGGGCATGGGACCCTCCAGGCCAGGCATGGGATATAATCTCCTGGTGTGCCTTTTGCTAAGACCCTTGGTAAAGTACAGTATTAGGGTTGGAGTTACCCGATTTTCCAGGTATTGTGTGTCTCAGTTTCCCTTGGCTAGGAAAAGGAATTCCCTTCCCCCTTGCACTTCCCAGGGCGATGCCTTGCCCTGCTTCAGCTCTCGCTGGTTGGGCTGCACCCACTGACCAGCACCGACTGTCCGACATGCCCCTGTGAGATGAACCTGGTACCTCAGCTGAAAATGCAAAAATCACCCATCTTCTGTGTCACTCGTGCTAGGAGCTGGAGGCTGGAGCTGTTCCTATTTGGCCATCTTGGGCGCCCCCCACTTCATACTATTTTTCACTTTTCCAATTCATCTGAAACTATTTTTATGATTTTTTTAGGTCATACCTAATTGAAATATTGGTAATCATTCCATTCCAATTATATTGTCATGCAGCTATAATGACTAAAATTTACCTTTAGAGGGGCAAATAAAAGAGGTTAAAAAATTAAGAAGTCAAAATAAAGCTTGTTCTGTTTTTAGAATGTAAATTACTGTCATCCCCATTGATCACTCCAATAAATGAAATTAAGATAGAGGCTCTGTAACCTTAGAAAAAGTGCTTTATTTAAAACTGAGACAAAATATAAAATAAGAATGTCTAAAGACATATCATAGAAACAAAAAGAAAAACTTGTAAGAAAATTGGAAAAGTTGGGCACAATTATTTAAATGCTATTTAGCCTACACTAAATTTAGTTTTTTTGGGCTTTTTTTTTTGAGACAGGGTCTTGCTATGTTGCCCAGGCTGGAGTGCAGTGGCACTACCATGGCTCACTGCAACCTCTGCCTCCTAAATTCAAGTGATTCTCATGCCTCAGCCTCCCGAGTAACTGGGACTACAGGTGTATGCCACCACGGCTGGCTAACTTTTATATTTTTAGTAGAGATGGGGTTTCACCATGTTGGTCAGCCTGGTCTCGAACTCCCGGTCTCAAGTGATCCCCCAGCCTCAGCCTCTCAAAGTGCTGGGATTATAGGTATGAGCCACCATGGTCAGCCTTAAATTTAGTTTTAATAATAATGTTAAAACAAAATTTAATAAGAATTTTAATAAGAATGTTAAAACTAAACTTAAATGTAGGCTAAATAACACTTTTATTTAGCCTAAATTATTATTAAACATTATTATTATTTAACATTATTTAAATGTTATTTAGCCTACACTAAATTTAGTATTTTTGTTTGGTAGAAATTCAAAATGTACACATTTAATATGTCCCACATAAAGCTTACGTTATTCAATACATCCTGTGTCACTCTCTAAGCTCATGATGCTTTATATGATTTTTATTTAGTAATAAATTTAAAACAGCAAATAAATGTTTAAAAATTAGCACAACCTAAGAGTAAAGCAAGGTATATTTTTTAATATGTAAGAGTGATTCATAAAGTGGACACTGACTAAAACATTAAAATTATACACAGAAAAGATCCACATCAGCCAAACACAGATGTGTTTACAGATGTAAAACCCAGATAGAAGCCAAAGAGGGGAGATTAATTAACACCATAGAGCCCATGCAGAAAGCCCACCTTGAGTGTTGAAGCTTATGGTGGCTTATACTTTGTAGGAAAGGTTAGAACCCATAGGCACACTGATTTAGAGATCTGTATAAACATAAAGCAGATTAGAAGCAGAAGTGACATTGATGCAAGGATCTATCAACACTAAAAAATGAAAAAGGAGCTGGATGAGGTGGACACAAAAAACGTAGTTTCATTCCTTCTATTTTCACTTAAGAGGTGTAAAATTAAATAAAGAATTTTTCACCTACATTTTTAAAACAAATTGGTGCTAATTTCAGATGCCTTGAAAGCTTACTCATGTAAACGTTTCCTCAGAGAAAGGAGGAGACAGTTAAATGAGTACTACCAAAATAAAATAAAACTTGATAATGAATTTAGATACATTGCTCTTAATAATGTAGTTGTAAGGAAAAGAAATCCATTAACATCCAGATTGCTTTGAATTACATCAAGAACAATATTCAATGAGCCTTAATTATTGTAACACCCATTTCAAATATAACTTGAGGGATATATCAAAATAAGCCTTATTTGAAACACTAATTTTCCTTAAAAAGTAGCATTTTTTAATTTTTAGGATAATCCTGATAATACTCATTCTATTAAACATAAATACCCAAATAATAATAGGCACCAAAAAGAAAAAAAATGTGCATGTGGTTTAAGTAAAAGAACTCACAAATTTGCAACTTAGGACATCCACAGAAAATCAGTTCACATAGTCCAGAGATTGATTATACATTGCTATTAATTCAGACATAATTGATTCTGGATGACTGTGACCCAAATAAAACATATGTTGAATCTCCACTCAATGATAATAGTAATGTAACTAACTAAATCCATATTGCTTTGTTACTATTTATGCTATCAAAACCAGACTTTTCCCAACTTGTGAGCCACCACTCTGGCATTCCAACAATCTGTTATAAGTATGCCTAAGACATTAATCACTTGGTTGTCTGACGTGGTCAGTGACCTCCAGTTCCAAGCAGCTTGGTACCCTTACCCCAGAACATTACAGAAATGTTTTAATTATCTATTTGTGCCAGAACTGGGCTAAACCATACTTGCCAACCTAATTGATTCTGTAAAAGACATAATTGAAAGTTAATATTGAGCAACTGGAGTTTTGTTTCACTTTTCCTAAAAAAGAAAAATAACTTATTTCTGGAATTTCCTTAACAAGCCTGAATTTATCTAATGTTAGTAGCTCACTACTTCAAAAAAAAATAACCAGGCTGCTTTTTGGGGGCGAGGAGGTGACACCAAATAAACTCACTAACATAAATAGCAGCCAACTCACATTTTGAACAGTATAAAATAAATGTTTCAAACACCTAAAGATTCAAGACAATTTTCTACAAAATATATACCAAACACAATTCAATCATTTATAAAAACAAGGACTCAATTTTCCATTAATGAATATTCACCCGAGTCCAAATTCAATTGTTGCAATTATTTATTCCATTCAGTCTTTAAAATCTTAGAAAGCAAATTAGATTAACGGCTCACCAAATAAGTAAAAATGCTGACAACTTACTGCATCCAATTTTCTTGCCCACTGTTGTTTATCGCAAGGGTTGTCTGCATAACCTTGCTGTAAGAGGGCTTTCCTATCCAGAGTTGTAAGGTCATCTGTGTTGGCTTCTTTATGTTGCACACACTATGCATGAAAGAAATAAATGAAGCATCATACACATATTTAGAATGTTTGTTTTTAACAAAATATGGAAATAGATAACCACGGAATATCTCAGTGGCTATTTGTACAGCAGTTAAAAGTACAGGCTCTGAAGATCAGATTGCTTATATTTGAATCCAGCTCTTCCAGTTGTCAGCTAGATGACCTCTCTGTGTCTCAGTTTACTCATAGATAAAATGTGAATTAATAATAGAAACTACTTCACCAGAAACAAAAAGGATTAAGAGATAATACATGCACAACACTTTATAAAAACTACTTGACACAGTAGGCATTACATAAAAGTTAGCAACTATTATAATTATTATTGTCCTATTTGAATATTTGAAAAATTAATAAATGTGGGCATGTCTCCTCTATTATAAAATTTAATTCAGAAATAAAATACTAAAAGATGAGTGTAACCTTCGAGGTAAAAGATTATTTGGGATGCTAAAGAGATAAACATCAAATTGTTCTTTGACTATGAGATGTGTTTATGCTACCTCAGCAAAACAAAAAAAAGGTTCCAATAAGATAGCAACTTGTCAAAACCTTTACAGATTTCAAGAATCCTCCCAAGGCTTATTCTTACTTTAGATCTTCCTTGAAAGGTCATACTCTATCTTAATACTCCTCTCTATCTTTATGACCTTTGATTGCTTTATAAAATTTTGTTATATATTTGTTTAGGCTTTTTTGCTTGCCTTTCCTAATGTAAGTTCCATGAAAGCAGGAACATTGTCTGTCATTTTTATTGCCATATCCCTGGTTGCAGAACAGGATAATACAACGTGAGCACTCGATAAATATTTATTCAATAAACGAATAATGAACCTAGCTTAGGTATTTACTATTTAAAACTCAATTTATGAGGATACTTTATCATTTTATTTGTTTACCCACTAATATACTTCTTTCTAAATAGTGATTTATTTAAACAGGCACCAAAAAATGCCTAGCATTATATAGGTAAATTAAGCAGATTAATTTAATGCATATATTCAAATATAAGCAAAGCACTGTATTTTGTTCAGATTGAAAACACTTCCAAAATAATTTTATTTTGTGTCAGCTTGTTTTCAACCTTTTACAAAAGGAAAACTGATATTTCCACTTAATATTTCAAATTCAACCTCCCAAAAGCAGACTTCTTTACAGTCTTCCCCTACCTCCAGTTAATGGTAACCCTCTTAGGCCAAAAGCCTTAGATCCATTCTTTTTTTATTTTAAAATATTTAATTGACAATAAAAATTGTAAATATGCAGTGTGTACAATATGATGATTTGATATACAGATAGATTATGTAATGATTATCACAATCAAATTAATTAATACATCCATCACCACACATAGTTACCATTTGTATTTGTCTGCGTATATGTGCGTGTGTGTCGTTAAGACACTTAAAATCTGCTTTCTTATCAAATTTCTAGGAAAAAATATAGTATGATTAACTGTAATCACCACAAATACAGTAGTTCCTCAGAACTTATTTATCGTATAACTGAAAGTTCATATCCGTTGACCAAGTCCCCATTTTTCCAACCCCTCCCCCCGAGTCCCTGGCAACCAATATTCTAATCTCTGCTTCTGTGGGTTCAACTTTTTTAGAGTCCACATATAAGTGAAAACATAGAGTATTTGTCTTTCTGTGCCTGGTTTAATGTCCTGAAATTAATCCTCGTAAAGTCATTCTTGGTCTTCCCTTTCTCTCAAGTCTACAACTAATCCATTCAAAAATCTTCTTAGCCCTACCTTCAGAATCTATCAACAATATGACTTTGTGAGACACTACAAGGTTCCAAGTCTGAAGCTACCATCACCTAGGTCCAAGCCATCATCATCAAATTTTGCCTCGATTATTGTGACAGCCTCCTCAAAGGTCTTCCTGCTTTCATCTTTGTCCTATTCTCAATAAAGACCATCCTCAAAAGAACAAAGTAGCTTTCTGCCTCACAGAAAAAGACAAAGTCCTTACATGGCTTGTGTGACCTCCCTGAGCTGCCTCCCAAATTCCCTTTAACTCTCTGACCAACCTCCTTCCATCTCTCCCTTGTTCTCCCTCCTCTGACCACACTGTCCTCCTCAATATTTCTTAAACACCCCTACTCATGACACGGAGTTTCTCCTGACTAGCTTGCTCCTCAAGTGTGTGCTAAAATGCTATCTTATCTAAAGGTCTCCCCTGTGATCCTATACAAATTGCTATCCCATACCCAAAGCCCTGACTTTCCTAGATCCCTTCTACACACCACACTTTTCACATGTGTCATACTAGCTGGGTTGACTGATTAATCATTCCATTGATTGATTTTTTTTTTCTCCTTGCCATTTCCTTCCATTAGGATATAAGCTCTTTAGAGGCAGAAATTTTTGTCTGTTTTATTCACTGACTTACCCCCAGTGCCTGGACAGGGGTATTGTGTAAAGTTAAGCACTCAGTAACTATTTGTTGGAAGAATAAATAATAAATGAATAAATTATATTGATCATTTATACAATTAAAAAGGTTTCTTTAGAGTGAAAAAAGATGTATTTGAAATGAATAATTAGTACGATTAGGAAATTAAGATTATTTTCAACAAAATTGAAGTTTAATGGTTTTCATGTTTAATTTCAAGATGTTTCATTATTTTAAAAATAGACATGTACACATAAATTTGCATTTTAGGTAACAAAACAATCTGACAACAAGAGATTCATCAGCTTTTATAGTAAGTGGAAGGAAAACTCAACAAAGGAAATTTACCATTAGAATTGCCATGGTTTGGATGTTTGTCCCCTCTAAACCTCACATTGAAATTTCATCCCCAATGTTGGAATGCTGTTTGGGTCATGGAGGTTGATCTCTCATGATCAATGTTGTCCCTTAGAGGTGAGTGAGTTTTTATTTTATTATTTCCCAAGAGTGCTGGTTGTTCAAAAGAGCCTGGCACCTCCACGTGCTCTCTTGTCTCCTATCTTGCTAAGTGATCTCTGCACATGCTGGCTTCCCTTCACCTTCCGCCATGAGTAGAAGCAACCTGAAGCTCTTAACAGGTCCCCAGTCTTCAGCTTTCTAGCCAACAGACTCATGAAGCCAAATAAACCCTTCTTTCTTCATAAATTACCCAGCCTCAGGTATTTCTTTACAGCAACACAAATTGAACTAAGACAAGAATCAAGCAAAGTCAAACTCCTATTTTACAGTTCAATTGATTATCAGTTGACTCATGTATCAGACTGATTAGTTAGCAACTATAGCCTTTAGTTCTTGCCCTGGATCCTAAATATTTCTAATCTTAGCTTTGCTTTACCAGTAAAGAGAATCAATTTACATGTTGATCCCTGCTTTAAAGAGGGGCTTATATTTCTGATATCAGGGATGTCTTCTATTTCCAGAGATTACTAGTGTTAATTCATGTAATTGTAATAGAATTTACTAATAGGCCACTTATATAGCAGTTTTGATTCTCATAATGGTATAATTTTAAAAGACATCAAATAAGTTCCTCAAACCCCTTAAGCACAAAATTATTATATAGAATCTACAGAAATGCTTTTTAACTAGAAGTTCTTCTAAAGGAACCACTAAAAACATATTAAACTTAGTAATTTCACACCTTTAATATAGATTCTAAAACTCAAAGCGGCAAAACAGCATATTTTCCAGAAGAATTTAGGTGCATATTGGCTTCTATAAAGCTCTTTATTCTTACTATATAAATACTTACCAATTTTATGGAAAATCTGCAAATAAAATTTGTTTTTCTCTTAAACCAAAAATAAAAGAAGTCCTCATTTGAATTTGCACTCAAGGAAATAAAAGTTTTACTTAAAAAATATTTTGAACCATTTTCCTGCCACTCAGTAAAGCATGTGCTTATAGAAACCTTCATTCTATTTTCCCAATATCTATACAGTGATCTAAGTATCACTTGGTATATCCTGCAAACAATACATGGTGAGATGCTAAAAGGTTATGAAATTATCTTGCCTAGTATTATAGACACCAGATTATCATATTTCTGTGTTTATATTTGGGTCTACAAAAATGTTTTTAAAATAAGAAAGACCAAATAATCCCATTAATTTTGTTACTCTTTCAGCTAAACACTATGTAATTTATTTAACTCTAGATAGTTTCTACAGGGTTAAAAAATAGTTGACATATCATACCTACTTATAAATTTATTATTTTTTACCTACAGAAAAATGCTAAGCAAATACAACATTAAAACCATCCTGAAAACACATTATTCTTACAAAAAGTTAACTGAATTAAAAATTCTATCTATATATGCTCTTCTTTACGGCCACTAGTATTCTATTTTTCAAACTATTCCTTCCAAAAATCAAGACTGACTTTTTCTGTATGATTATGAAAGCCATTACAATTATTATGTTTAATTTATTATTATATTCATTAATAATGAATGTATACCCAATTAATATTACATAAAAACATAACAATTTCAGCAATTCATGATGTTAAACAACCATTTCCCATAATGTGACAAAAGACAGTAATGAAGTGATGGTATTTTTTGCACAAAACAGGATTACTATAAAGTCTCAAACTACTTATCAATTTTAAAATATAGACTGTCAGACTAACTGAGTTCAAGACAGCTATGTCAACAAAATACGTAATACTGTCTTATTTCTAATCCCAAGGTACGTGAAAAACTTCTATCAGAGAAGAAGTGACTAAACTATATGGCTATAACTTTTTTGTCAGAAAATGACAATAACCCGTTAAATTTGTTGTGAAGAACAAACTAGCTAATGTAACTAAAATATTTACGACAGTCCTTGACAAACAGAAATAAATGTTAGCTATTATACTTATTTTGACTAATAGCAAGACATGTCACCCAAAAAGGGATTTCTATAATACATGCAGTTTTCTTTATATTCATTAGAATTTTTTAAAGCCTCATACATTACCTTTTCATCTATCTTGTTTCTTGGAGACTGTTGATGTGTAACATTTGATTTTGTATTTTCTGCATCTATCTGACTATACTGCTTATAGCCCTCTTTCATTTCCATTTTATATTGCTGATATTTTAGTTTATATTTGTCTGTTGGTGCTGGCAAATTTTCAGGTATCAGGTTCTGATCCTATAGGTAAAAAGAAAAAAGAATGCTGTCAGAAAAAAATTACTAATTTTCCTTATTGGAATTAACAGGTTTATCATTTATCTTAGCATTTACTCCTAAAAAATGACCATTATAGTCAATGTTCTAAGCAGAGATAGTATTTAAGACATTCAACTGGTACAGACAGCATCACTGACCAATCAGAGCAGACAGAACTGCTAAGAATGGGCACTTACCTTAAATACTAGTAAGCTTGTACCTTGTTTCCTAGCTGAAGATCCATTCTGGTTCCAATAGCATTTAAGAGGAGAAAAACTGATTTATCTTTCTTCTTAGGATTTTTAGATAAGCTTTTCTTCTGCCTCAGAAGAACTCCACTGTTAATCTTTCTTTTCGTAATAGACATAGCAATTGAAGATCACTAATACTGAGAAGCATTGGTTGTCATTTCTAGAATATCAAGATATTCTATCTATTTGCAAACATGGAAATATTTGCAAATAAAATTTTTCTCTTAAACCAAAAGTAAACAAATGTCCTCATTTGAATTTGCATTCAAGGAAATAAAAGTTTTACTTAAAAAATATTTTGAACCATTTTGCTGCCACTCAGTAAAGCATGTACTTACAGAAAACTTCATTCTATTTTCCCAATAGAAAACACTGACCTAAATATTATTTGGTTCCCTACCATATTTCCATGCGAGTGACAGATAATGGAGTCAGTGGATAAGAGAAATCTAAAAGAAGTGCTATACAAATACAAGGGCATACTGTATTGACCCAGGGAGTGACAGACACTCCAAAAGGAGTTTTTTTATACAGCCAGTCCAATCCTTGAAAAGTGTTGAGGATATCCATGTCTAACCCAGAGAAGGATGAAGCAAAGCTTCAGGATATTATTCATGCAGTTTTCCAAAATGAAACTAAAAACATGAATAGAGTCAGCTATATGAAAAGACTAACAAAAACAGAAAAGCCCTACTCCTATACTAGTCAGGATTTACATTCACATTGTGAACAAAACACTAGATATGTTTGAAGCATAAACATGTCCCAAGGAGACAACTTGGAATGAGCATAGCTACTTACTCCATAGTATCCCAGTAGCCTAAAGTATGAATCAGTTTCCAAAAGACCAATCTTACATTGCTAAACTAGCAATATCTGATCTAAGAGTTTGCCATATTTCAAAAAATTCCTCAATTCCATATTAGGATATACCTGTACTCTACTGATTTCATTTAAAAATTTTAAAATACCAATTTCAATGTGTGACAAGATATAAAACAAGTAAAAATCATTTCACTAACATTATGGTTTGGTATTCTAACACATAAAATATTTAAACTTGGCAAAACATCGATTGAACATAACAAAATTTTTTAATTTTATTGAGATTAAATCCAGTGCTAATAATGCATACTATAATTCTGAAAATTGATAAGCAAATAAATACTAGCCAATTTATTTAGATGATGCTGAGTATATGGAGTTTGACATGGTGTGACCCAACCAAGAGTAGAAGATGAATTTGGCAGGTTTGCTGTACTAAGTGGAATATATGAAAAATTGTCCTAAAAAATAAAATTAATGATATTTCTTATATTCTATGTGTAATATTGTGTTTTAATGTTTATTATATTAAATACTAAATAAAAATTACCTCATCATCAGAGTCAACAAGGCTTCCCAAATCAAGTCGTGGGACCCTGAAAGAAATAATCTATGTATCTCGTAACTTTGTAACATGAAATTTTAACAACTGCAAATCTTATGTGTTACATCTTTTATAAATAGGTACACTGAAACCAATGGTGCCGTGGCTTCTACTGGCTTGTGATAGGCTTTTGTTAAATGCTCAGTAATTTTTCAAGCTGGTTGTTAAACCCATCCATCATTAAAAATATATATAAATTTACAATTAAGTTATATTAAAAATAAATACTCAAAATTCATCACTTCCCGATGATTTCACTGTACTTTGCTATTATCTGTGCTCTAGATATTATCTATGTCTATCCTATCTCTATGGTAGTTTAATAGTGTGCACCTCTTTCCAATTCTGTGCTCAGTGATGTCATATAGGTACACTGAAATCAGCCTTGGTGGGAATATTTACACTGCAATTGGCAAATGCTATGAATAGGACTTGGTTTAATATTTGGTTGATTTCTGAAACTGTAACAAGTGTTGGAGAAAAATGTTAACAATGCAGATTCAACCTAAAATTATATCATGTCTATACCTGTCGCACAGTGAATAGCCTCAAAACACACTGAAGAAATGTGGTTTTATAGTCAAAACTATTATTTGACTCAGCAAAGAAATCACACATGTCACTTTTTAAAGTAAATAAAAATATTAACCAATATTCATGCTGGAACTACACAGGTTCATCAATTGCAACCATAGGTTAGCTAGAGATACAGAGTTCAGCAAAAAAACAGAGAGACAATTATGTGAAAATCTACTGGCTATATGGAATCTACAAGAGAGACTATATATTTGATTAATATTTGTAAATTGATTGCTACATGTCCTTTATATCAGTAAAAGCTACAATCAACTTAATATATGCTTAAATTTCTTTATAATAAACAAGTAAAATTTACAATAAACTTATAATACACTTTCAGAAAACCAGTCCTTAAACTTTTCTCTGTACACAACCGACACAGCCATTGTTACATACTCAATATCTTGGATCTAGTGCTTGCACCTAACTCTATTCTTTATGTCAAGATGAGCACACAGGTAATCTGTCACACAGAACCACATAAATGTTGATGTTTATTCATTTTGATCTTCAGAAATGTCAATACTCTCTGGTTTAGCCTAGTAAATTACTAAGTTTTTTAATTTGTATTTTTAAAGAGCCTCTATAATCTAAAATACTTGAAAGAATAGAAAAATCGTATTATTTCAAATTTTAAAAGTCAAAATAACATATAATGTAAAACACAAATATATTCTAAACCAAAAATAAAATAATTTTAAGATTGATAAAATTGTCATATTCCTCAAAATTAAAACACAGACATAATTATCCTTAAATTCATGTCAACTATATGAATTATACAAGGATAAAAATTTACATATCTCTTTAATAAATGTATATAGTTGAATTTTCCAAATAAAATAATATTTTCACTTTTTCAGGAAAATGTAAAACATATTAAGGAAAATTAAAAAACCGAAGAAGTATTACCTATAATTCTACCATCTTATCACAAAAGCTATTTTAATTTTGGTATAGTAATTTTCAGGCTATCCATATGCATATAGATTTTTCTGTGGTTCACAATCATAGCTACATATATAATTTTGCTTTCTTTTTTAATTAGTCAATGTATGATCAATATGTGCCCATTAAAAAGTCCAAATGTGAAGAAACGTAACTTACACTGGTGGGCAAGAATTCCGGTTTGTCCATGATTCAGAAGTCCACCTTTGCTTTAATTTAAAAAAAAAATTTTGAATCGGTATGAACATGAATATACCCTTTATACTTTAAGAGATATACAATGAGTCAATGCAATAAGGCTAATTATATTTTTTCTCAGTAAACACCATATAATAAAAGCGTATTAAGCCCCTTCCTACTGTGCTTGAGACACAGATAAAACGGCAAGCAAGACAGATAATCCCCACCCACATAGCACTCTGCTGGAGACGTTCTCTCAAATAAACAGTAATGGGAAAAATCAGACTGTAACAGAGTAACTACATAGCAGTATACCCAAACTACTCTAGAGAATTTGGGAAGCTTATTTTTGTTTGTTTGTTTTGTTTTTTTCTTAAGGCAACCTTTAACAGTTTTGAAAGATAAGGAGGAGTTAGCCAGATGAAAAGAAAAGAAAGAAAATTGATTCAGCTAGGAAACAACTTGTGCTGCACAGGCCTCCAGATAAGAGTCAGCATTTGGAAAGGGGTAAAATCCAGAATGTGAGGGGGGTAGGGCCAAGTTGTTACATTATAGTACAAGTTAGGGAACTTGGACCTTGTTTTTAAGGTAATGGGAAGACAGTGAAGGGTTTGAGAAAGAAAGTAACAAACACATGCATGTATTTGTCAACATTCCATCTTGTTGCCAAAAACATTGTGCAAGGCATGAAAATTACAACAAGCTTAGCCACCATGAAATAGAAGACATATATGAGTCTTAGGAGAACTTCAAGTTAAAAAAAAAATAGAAAATAATTCACCCATCAGCACTTACACCCTATTTCTGAAATGTTACCTGACTTATGCTTTTTTTGTGATATTGGTAGCAACCGTAAAAATTACATTCTACTTTTTGTCTTTTTTTATATTTTCCTTAAACAGATACTCTTAAATAACAATAATTATACAATAAGTTTAATTTTAAAAAATAAAACTAATTCAAGCAGTGGCAAATTTTTAAGTAATTATTATCTTCAATTTTGGTGGTTCCATTCTTCAAATCTAGAAAATGCTGATCCTAAATATCTGTAAATATAAGTAATCACAAAACACGAAGAAAAGGTCAAAAAATTATTTAATAAGTCATCCTGAAAGAAGAAAATTATATAGTTCACATACTTGTAGTGGCTTCTTTCTTCCAAAGAATGGCTGAATTTGGCTCCTAGAAGTGGCAGCAACTCCTTTAACCTCTAAATCCATTCAAGTTCCTGTATTTATAATGCAGTATACTTTGAAAAAGGTAGAGTAAATGTTAAATGATACTTCTTACTCTAATTTTAAATAAGTCATACAAATTACCTAACAAGTTTACCTGGAAAGAAATCATATGGTTAATCACTTCTGGTGCTTTTACCAGTATCAACTTTTTGTAGGGCAATCACATTATGCCCTGTGTTAGCATGAATAATGGGCCCCCAAAGAAGACCATGTCTTAATGCTCAGACCCTGTAAATATACCACCTTACATGACAAAAAGGACTTCAGATGTGTTTGAATTAAGAATTTTAAGATGGGGCGATTATCCTGGATTCTCTGGTGGGCTCAGTGTAACCACCAGAATCCTTATAAGAGGGAAACAGAAAGAACAGAGTGAAACAGAGAAGATGTAAAGATGGAAGCATACGACAGAGAAGGGTGAAGATGTCAAGCATTCTGGTTCTGAAGATGGAGGAAGAGGTCATGAGCAGCCTCCAGAAGGCAGAAGAGGCAAGGAATGGATTTTCCTCTGGCGCTTCCAGAAAGAACCTGCCCTGTTGACAGCCTGATTTTAGCCCCTTAAGACTAATGTTGTACTTCTGACCTCCAACTATAAAATAAATTTATGTTGTTTTAAACCAGTAAGTTTAAATTTTTTTTACAGCAAAAATAGAAAACCAATGCATCTCCCTCTTCTGTACTACCACCATGAGATATACCTTTATTTCCTTTACTCATTTCCCAAACCTTTATGAGTTTCGGTTTTGCCAGAGTAGCCTGATGAAAATACTTTCAACAAGCAGTATTCTTCATCTAGAACAAAGAATAAAATGGAGTAAACGGTCCAATTAGTAATAATGTGGTGATTGGTAAAAATGCTTACAAAAGGATGTTGAAAGTAATCAACTTGCAAATATGTACAAAATAAAAATCAAATGAATACATTTCATTGAAATTTTGTATATTTTATACTTTACCTTTATATTACTAAGGATAATTTCACATTTAGATATTTATTCATACTTTCTTTTTCTATAGTCTTGGATTTATTTTAACAATAAATTATTTCTGTTTTGTTTTTTAAAGGAAAGATAGCATGGCATCCTGCCAGCTTGGAATTAGACAGACATACATTGTAATCCTGATTTTTGCCACTTTCACATAATTTAAGTTTGAGTAAAAAATCTTTATGAACCAATGTTTCTACATAATAGATAAAATGAATTTAATGTTAGTACTTTTCCTGTTGGAATAATGTAACATTCAATAAATGGTAGCCATCATTATTATTAAAATATATTTTTATTTCATGGCCAATGAAATCTTACCTGAAAGATATCCCAATTCCTTACTAACTTATCTATATGGTTCTCTTTACCCCATCCCTAGAGCCTCTTCCTCTAAAAATTCCTTGCCATAAGCCTAGAATTCCACTCTAAGTCAAGTCAGGAGACTTATCAACCAATAGTAAACATATTCTGGAAAAAAAATACAAATCATTAGACTCAAAAATTCTCCTATAGCACTACAGATGGCTTTCTTTCCAGAGCTATTTTTCACAAAGAAGCAACTTTTAAAAGTTGCTATTGTTTTGTTTTGGAGGCCAGGGTTAGGTTGGTTGTTTAATCACACAAATTATTGTATTTGCAATGATGATTACTCGCTAACCAACCCAAGTTGAGATAAGGATGCTGAACAATCAGCAAAGTGATTTTCTCCACACATTAGTCTCTCAATTGTTTATATCCTAGTAACAGTTATAGCTATTTCAAATCACTATAGGTCATTTCAAATCAGTATAATTTATTTGCAAATTTAAAAAGCAGCAACATTTAAATTCTCAAATGTCCAGGACCCCCAGTTCCTCTACTTCCCCAATCAGGACAGTCTTCACTCTTCACTGTCATTAGATTTTCATTTCCCTAATAAACTGTCAAGACCAGGAAAGTTCGTGTCTCCTGCCCTTAATAAAGCATAGGTAGTAAATATTTAGTCAATAGTAAATTAATGCATAGCAAAATACAAGTATACATTTTACACATATTCTTAGATTCCTTTCATTTCTCTGCATCTAACTGTAACATAATCACAATGCCAACATATAAATTCTATCTTCAATTAGATAAGATGTTTAAAGCATTGCATTATAACTATTAGTCCTTAATGCTAGACTGTAAGCCTCATATTTGCTCACCCTATGTCTCAGGATTTAGAAAGCCCACAACGTAGTAGGAACTTAAAAAATGTTTGTTAAATAAGTAAAGTCAGTTAATTCAGAATGGCATAACACAAAAGTGGTTAACTTAGATATAGTAAGAGTATTCAAAGGGCAATGCCGTCATATATGGAACACTTCTGGATCTATAGAATTAGAGCAGTCAGGCAACGGACACCCTATGTAGACGATTTTAAGATTTTGACAGGGCTTCAAAGACAAAAACAGTTCAACCTTCTGATTTTCAAACCGAGCCAGCTGAGACCCAGAAAAGTGAACTGCACTTTGCTAAATGGTTTGCCAGTTATTGCAGACCCGAATTCACTACTTGGGTTTCAGATCTCTTTTCAGTACTACATCCTCACTGGTACAGGTAATAGAAGAATCCGAGGGGAATTAGCTGTATGGACTAAAGAATTAGAAATCTAAACTTGGTGGCACAGGAATCAGCAAACAACTGGCTGTGAGCAAATCTTTGAAACCTATGCCAAGGGTTGTCTTTGTCGTTAAGCACTGAATATCCAGCTGGGTTATATTGGAGCTAGGGAGTAGCAAAAGGAAGGGATAGCACTTCTAAATGGCTTCTGTCCCCAAATAGCTGCATGTCATGGGGTGATATTGCTAGCATATAATAAATACTGTTGGCTAATGTCTTTAGTGCTACCAAAAATAACTGAACACACTTCCCATTTCCCTCATTTTTTTTTTTTTTTTTAAGGATGACTATTTCCACTTCCAATTATTATCCCTTCTCTCTTGGTAGTATTACTGGCTATTATGTTACTTATACCAAATCAGAAAAAAAATGAAAAAAAAAAAAAAAACTGATTTAATTCAGCTCATAAATAAGGAAAAAAGAAAGAGCTGTAAATACAATTAGTATTTAAGCTACATGAAGGTAGGGACCAAGTCTATGTTGGATCCCACACGACTACAGACCCAGATATCTGAATTCAAACTTAGGTCATTCCTAATTTCAAACAAAACAGAGTAACACCTTTTTCACCCACATCACTCCCCTGGCTCCCAAATTATATTATACTTCAGAGCACCTGCAGTGTAGCAGAAGGAATTCCCCATCCCCTACCTATCTGGGATTCCTGCACAGGACAGGCGAGGGGCACAAGAGACAGCTAGCCTGATTTCACCTAACAGCTCAGTAAGAAGAGGTTCAGAGTTAGAATGGCTAGAAAAATAGCGCGATTCCTCCAAAAACCGCCTTCAGAAAGCTTCAGACAGGAGAGTCTGGTCAGTCCAGGCCTGAGTCTGCAGGTTGCCGGGCAACTGGCGCCGCAGCGCAGGGCCTCTGATTACACTCTCACCTCCAGGGACGAAAAGGTGGTCGGCCCAAGTCCCTTGTACGTTCTACGGCACTTCCTGCCCCCGCCAATCTGCCTCCTCAGTTCCGCGTCTGGCTGACCGGAACTGAGCGTGTGGCCGAAGACCCCGCCACGCTCTGAGAAGTACTTGCTGGCTGGAAAACCCAAAGGGGTGAAATCTCTGCTGCAGCCGCCAGAGCTTCCCAGGGAACTGGCTCCGCGGCGCCCCTAAACCCCGGCGAGGAGCCGGAGCGGACTCACTCACCTGCGCTTCTCCTGAGCAGGGAAAGGACCAAAGCCCGGCCCGGATCCACGGCGATTGTTGTGTAATTCTTTGTCTAATTGAATTTTATTTAGCATATTTCATAATGCACCTGTCTCTGCGCAGGGCCCAGAATGATGTTTTGAGGGGAAGAAATTTAAGCATATGCTGCAATATCTGTCTCAAGGAGCTTGCACTATTTTTTTAAAAAAGTGCAATATATTATACAGAGATTACAGATATTAGACTGGATATTACTTTAAATTTGTGTGACCATGTACATATAGATGATTACATGAATAATTGCATATACATGTATGTGTATTTGTGTGTATATATAATTAAAAATTAAAATGATGTATGGAAAGGGCAAAGGCCTAGATATCAAGAAACCTACATTTTATTCTTTGCCAATTTTTTTTTTTTTTTTTTTTTTTTTTGAGGCGGAGTCTGGCTCTGTCGCCCACGCTGGAGCGCGGTGGCGCGATCTCAGCTCACTGCAACCTCCACCTCCCAGCTTTAAGCGATTCTCCGGCCTCAGCCTCCCAAGTAGTTGGGATTGCATGCGCCCGCCACCACACCCGGTTAATTTTTTGTATTTTTAGTATAGACAGGGTTTCACCATGTTGGCCAGGCTGGTCTCGAACTCCTGACCTCAGCCTCCCAAAGTGCTGTGATTACAGGGATGAGCCACCACGCCCGGCCCAAATATTTTTATGTATGCTCTGTACACAGTGTCTTGGCATCTACTCCTCATCTATAAAGGGAAAAAGCTGGTTTGAGATAATTCTAAGGTTCTACTCCACTCTAACATGCACTAACTTTCCTAAATTACACAGCCAAGAGTCAGATATTCAAATTAGAAGTTAGAGTTTATGAAGGTTAATCCAGTTCTTTCATAATCCTGTTTTTCTAATCTGCAGTAACTTTTCAAAATTATCTCCCCTCAAAATGTATGTATCAAAACATGAATATTTCCAGTATTTCCTGGAGCCAGTTTGGGAGTAAAAATACAAATAAATTTTTAAAGTATAAAAGTAGTGAAGTAAATGAGGTATAATGTAATCACTCTGTATTTTTCTGCTGCACTCCATAAAATTAATCCACCAATTACCCCCACATAGAAAGAAAAGCAAAAATAAATAGCAGAAAACACACATAAAAATAAAACAGAAAACTAAATTTAACTTTTAAAAAGTTATAAAAGACCTTAAAAATTCTGGTGCCCCAGCTAAACTTGTCCATTCCACAAATAGATGTTCAAGAAAATAACATTAGGACGTGCACAGTCTAATCCTGGCAATTAGACTTTTTACACCTAAATTGTTTTAGTATTTCTGAATATAGCTGTCTATGCTATTGGGAACATGGTCTAAAAAACATAATGTATACAATTCAGACCTTTTGTTATAAACGTCTATTAGAAGAGCAATAATCTTGGATTATGGTTTGACTATATATACTCTACTTTTGCCAATCTTTAAATCCATTACTTTATGAAATTCCTGTTGTTGTTATAGGCAGTTAATTTCTCTATACACTAAATGAAACTAAACTAGCTGTTAACCTTTATCCTTATTAACCTTATCCCTATCAACCTTTCCTGTTTTGCAGTTCCAAAATAGTTTGCATTTGAAGCTCAACTTTAAATTTTCAGTTACTTGATCATTCATTAATGCATTCAACATTCACTGAGTACCTGCTACTTGAAAATAGTTTATTTTATATTTGCATTTATTTGTTCATTCAGCCACTTATGTATTTGACAAACATCCACTGAACACCTTCTATCTTCACATAAACCCAATGTTAGAAAAAGTGAAATATATAAGCCTACCCAGTATTTCCTTTTATACGATTAAGTCAAAAATATTTATTGAGCCCCTCATATGTATATATACATATATATAACAATTA